ACTCCTGAATCACATAACAGCACTGTGGAAAGACAAGGAACTTACAAACCTGTGAATTTACCACTGTGAAACCATGCTTTGTAACTTCAACAGGGTCTTTGTAATCACTGAGCAGTCCTTTTATTCCACTCTTACTGTTTTATGGAGTCCTGGACCTGAGATGCTGTCTAGCTTTATACACGTGATCTTAGACAAAAGACCAACAGAAATGTTCTCATTCCCCTCTTTTTACAAATAAGTAATCTTGTCCAGAGAGGGTTAAGGTGATTTGCTCTAGGTTGCATAGATTATGGGCTTGGGCTAGATAGAGTCCATATCTCCTGTATCTTTCAGTGCAATGTTCTTTCTGTTATACTGTAATGAGTTTCTCTAGCTCCCTCCCACAGCAGTTGTGGCTTAAATTCTCAAGACTTCAGTCCTACTTTTCCTCCCTCTTAAATTAAGTAAACATTTGTTTATTGGCTGATGGCTTCACCTCTTTTTCTTCTTTTTAAACTGAGATCAGTCATTGTGTTTGCCCAGCTACCCTTGTCCTCACTTCACTATCTGTATACACTCATTGTTTCATTCCTTTTTCTCTAATGCAGTTGCTCCTATTTCATGGGTCCAAAACCCCTTGGGGGTTCTTAATGATGATCCAAGGGTTTGTGCTAAATATTCTTTAATGACACCTTAAGCAGTAAATAATAATAGAATATTATGAGTATATTAAATTTCCTTGTGGAATCAACTTTTTTTTAAAGGAGTTCAAGGAACAAAAACGATTGGGATGCTAACCCTTCTACATGTGCCTGTATCTTGTCCTTTCCCATCTGCTGCTGGCTGTGTCATCTATAAAAAGATCATTATACATGCTGTCCTTAGTTCACGGAGTTGTGAGGAAAGTGATTTGCAAACCCTAAAGAAAGTGCTATATCAATGTGTGATGCTATCCACAACTTATTCCTTCTTCAATTAATTTCTCACCATCTGGTTTAACTCCACCTCCCTAGGGAAATAGAGTACTTTTGAAAATCACCAGCGCTCACCTCTTTGTGCAATTGAAAGGTTTATACCAGAAATGGGGAACCTGCAGCCTAGGTACATAAGGCCTCGAGGCTGCAGGTTCCCTACCCCTGGTTCATACTCTCTCCTCACCTTCCTTTCCTTGATTCCTCTAACAACTGTGTTCTCCTTCTTAAAATACCTTATAAACACCTCGATAGTCCTGACTCTCTTTTCTAAGTGATCCTTTTTTTTTTTCTACCCCATAAGGGTTCCACTATCTCTCCTTCCCTAACTGTAGGTGCCGGTCAAGGCTGAGTTCTTGAGCGCTTCTCATTCTCTTTTTAAGTGTTTTTCCTTTGGAGAGCCAACTTATCCATTGCATAGTTTCAGTTGTTACATCTATGCAAATGCCTGTCAAATAAATCTGTGGTCCTGACTTGTCGTGGAGGTCCCCCAGTCTTGCTTCTTCTTCTTCTTCTTTTTTGGGGGGGCAATTGGGGTTAAGTGACTTGCCCAGGGTCACACAGCTAGTAAGTGTCAAGTGTTTGGTCTGAGACTGGATTTGAACTCAAGTCCTCCTGACTTCAGGGCAGGTGCTCTATCCACTGTGCCACCTAGCTGCCCCATACTCAGTCTTGCTTCTAAAGCTGTCTTTTGGACCTTGTTACTGATGAGGCCCTGCTCTTCCCTCAGATTCAGCACATTGATATTGAAACATCTGCAAAAGGATCTGGGCATTTTGGTGAACCACAAGTTCAGTGGGATTTCACAGTAGAACATGGCAGCCAAAAAGCTGTGAACATACAACATATGACCATAACAGTGGAAGTGGTTGTGCTGTCCTATGCTGCTATGATGAGACCATAGGTGGAATATTGTGTCCAGTTCTGGGAGCCTCATTTTAGGGAGGATGGGGACAGGCAGGAGCATGTCTAGGGAAGGTCAACATAGTGATGGGCAGGGACTGAAGACCAGGCTATACAAGTACCAGTTGGCTGAACTAAGAATACTTCTTTGCCTGAGAAAAGATTTGGGTAAAATAAGATGGCACTCATCAAGTGTTTGAAGGGCTTTCATGTGGACAAAGAAATAAACCAGTTCTGCTTGGTCCTGGAGAGCAGAATGAGGAATAAAGGCAGATTTAGGCTCGCTGTAACAAAAAACCTAACAGAGCTATCCAAAGGAAGAAGTGGATGTTTAAGAAGGTAATGAGGGCACTGTTACTGGATAGGGGGAAGAGCGTAGTCTTCAAGTCAGCCACTTTTAGAGATTATTTTTCAGGTGTGGCTTAAATAAGATGATCCCTGAGATCCAACTCAGAAATCTTGTGTAAACTCATTTTCTCCTCAATGTCTCCCCACCACTCCCAAATTCTCCCTATGTCCATGGGATCACGAAGAGTCGGATACAACTTAACAACAACAATTTCCATCGGTGGCACCACCTTTATCCCAGTCTTTCAGGTTGGAAGTCTTAGAATTACATAGACTACTGCAATATATGCCAGGTCTTTAATTATTCCTTTCTATTTGTGTGACCTTGTATAATTTACTTTACATTCTGGGTCTCCATTTCTCAATTATAAAATGAAGAGAACTATAATCTTTTTCAGGACAGCTAAGCAGCACAATGGATAGATTGCCAGGCCTAGAGTCAGGAAGACCTGAGTTCAAATCAGACCTCAGACCCTTACTAACTGTGTGACACTGGGCAAGTCATTTAACCCTATTTGCCTCAGTTTCCTCATCTGTAAAATGAGCTAGAGAAGGAAATGGCAAACCATTCCAATATCTTTGCCAAGAACTTGGAATTAGAAAAACTGTATTCAGACCACACCTCAGATAGTTACTAGCTGTGTGACCCAGGGCAAGTCACTAAGACCTCTTTGTGTCCATTTGTGAGAGGGGTTGGACGAATAGCCTCTAAGTTGTGATTTCATAATCTTATGAACTAGAATCATGTCCCTCCTCTATTAAGTAACTTTCACTGACTCCCCATTTCCTAGTATATAAAATCCAAATTCCTACATTGACATTCATTACCCTCTGCCATTTGATCTCAGCCTTATCCATCTTTTCTCTGTGTATTCTGTGTTCCAGCACTATTCCTCAGACCTGTTTCATATTTTCACACCTTTTTTTCTTTGCTTACCCAGTCCCTACTTCTGGAATCCCCACTCCCACATACGTTCCTAAATTCTTCCTTTTGGAATTCTTCATTCCTCAAAGCCTTCCTCACATCATCTTTCCTTTGTGAAGGGTTCTCTGAAATCCTTCCAACCAGAGATGGTCCCTCCCTCCCCTAAACTCTTATAGCATTTCGCTCATGCTTCCCTTAGTCTGCTTTACAGTATAGTTGTTTGTGTCTGTTTCTTATCTTACGTACTTGGAGTTGGGAACCATGTTACGGTAATCTTTTTATTTCTGAACATAGTGGATAATAAATGCGTGGATTAACTTAGCAAAAAGTTGACTCTCTCTAAAAGAAGCCCCCTGGCTTACAATTTTAAGACAAGAGAAGAACAATTAGAACCAGGAGGGCCATCCTCTGGGCTCTAACCTTTTCTGCCCGGCAGTTCTGATGACCTTCACCTTCAGGAATGCTGTCTCCCATCCAGGAGCTGCATCTGGAGCAGAGCCCTGCCGTGTGTTTGCATTCATTACTGGTGGGGTTTGTATTTATATAAGATGGATAGGAATCATTTGAGTGACCTTGTTGCTACATATGATTAACAGGATGGATTTTTAGGCAATCAAAGGGAGAAAAGTGACCCCAGGCAGAGTTTTATGTGCTCTGTTTGCTGAACCTTTGCATTGTTAGCATTTTTTCACTGTTAAATAGGATTCTCTTACAGTGACTGGAATATTTCATTTTGACTTACTTCTTACGTTTGCAGTTTTACTGAGCTCATTTGTGCTGTTTTTAGTTAGTAGATGGAGAGAAATCCCCCTGTGTTAACTGGTCCCTGGTTTAGAAGACGATTAGTCAGAGGTAGAAGAGATGGTTGTTTTTGTTGTTTAAGTAATCGTGTGCCAGGCAATCTCTGGCTTCCCTGCCAGACTATTCTCTGTGACTGAAATGCCCTCCTTCTGTCTGGTCACCAACTAAATGGGAAGGAATATGAATCATGGGAAAGATCACTGGATTTGGAGTCAGAATCTGCCCCTTAAAAATGGTGTGACCATGGGGGCAGCTAGGTAGTACAGTGGATAGAGCACCGGCCCTAGATTCAGGAGGACCAGAATTCAAATCTGGCCTCAGACACATAACACTTACTAGCTATGTGACCCTGAGCAAGTCACTTAACCCATTGCCTAGCCGAAAAAAAAAAAAAGGTGTGACCATTCATCCTTTGGGCCTCAGGTCCTCATCTTCAAAATGAGGGAGTTAGACTCAATGACCTCTAAGGTCCCTTCTAATTCTAAGACTATGACAGTGCTATGATGATAGGAGCATCTAAGTAGAAAGAGCCCCTGGCCTGAAGTTAGGAAGACCTGAGTTCAGATATGGCTTCTAAGATGGCAATAGGAAATCCCAATAAACATGTCTCGTTTTCACCTGGGCAGGTCTCAGTGGAAGCTTTTGTCCAAAGTCCAGCCTGTCCTCTATTCTAGTTGCTGAGAATCCAGAAATTTAACTTTTTTTCTTTGTCCTGTTTCCTGATTCCTGGAGCCATCTCTGTATTTCTTGTGCTTTTACAAACCCCAAGGGGCTGAGAAAAGGGGGTTGTTGAGGAAAAAAAGAAGTTCTAGGATCTAGGAGAAGAACTTTGTCTAGAATTCTTACCTGGAATAACCTCAGAGCAGGTCAGCATCACTATAGGAAGAAAAGGTCCAGGACTCTTTTAGCTGTTATAATATCAGTCAGTGAACACAATTTTGGCTTAAAGGCTGCAGGAACAGGCCCATTGACCTTTAGATTTTGTAGTTTTTTTAGAAAAGCAAAAAGAAGCTATTGATCAACATGATAAGCATTGACCATTAGGAAGATTGCTTTATTTCTTTCTATTGTAGATTGAACAAATGAGGAGTGAGTTGCTACAAGAGAGAGCTGTAAGACAAGATTTGGAGTGTGATAAGATTTCCCTGGAGAGACAGGTAAGGGCTTTAGCCAGTCCATATTAAGGAACCTCTCTCCCTCATTGGCTGCGGTCTTGCTGGTACCTGTACAGGCCATCAGTCTCTTTAAATACCATTTCGATTTGAAGCCCCATTGCCTTCTTATTTCTACTTACAGGCCTAAGTTACATTGGGATTCCTTAAATGTAATCAGATGTGCAAGTATGAATTGCAGAGAGTGATTACTAGCATCCCTGTCATTTTTTAACTCACTGGGCAAATTATTGTCCAATTATATGCTTCACTATTAGTTTGATTGGCTAATGGTTTGTTTTTTTGTTAGTTTGAAAACCAAAAGGCAGCACATGTGTGTCACTTTAATATCCAGATGGCATAGTTGGAAATCTTGAGTCTTAGATAGAATGCATGCCTGGGATTCCAAGTCTTAAAAGTAAATCCTCTTAAAAATATCCTCTTGCCTTCCAGGATGCTTTGTTCAGTTCTCACTTACCTGTTTAGTGAGTGCCTCACTTGTCCTCACTGAAAGAATATTTACTGTGTACCTAATTATACCTGATATTCTGAGAACTCTGCTGAAAGAGAGCTTTGTAGCCACGCTCACATGATAGAATCATACCACTCCTCCACTCAGAAATCTTCATTGCTTCCCCATTGCTTCCTAAATGAAATTCAGATGCCTTAGCCTGGCTTCTAAGACCCTCTGCAGCCTACCTTATCTCTTATTAATTCTTTTCATGTACGTTATACTCCACCCAAATTGGATTACATGTTCTTTACATACAAGATTTCTGTTTCCAGAATAAGGATTTAAAGAGCCGGATAGTTCACCTGGAAGGTTCATATAGATCTAGTAAAGAAGGTCTAGTGGTGCAGATGGAAGCCAGGATCTCAGAGCTAGAAGACCGGCTGGAGAATGAAGAGAGGTAAACACAGTGGAGCTACTACCCCACAGTACCAACCCCCATGCTTCTAATAATGGTAACACCTTACATTTATATAGTGCTTTAAGGTTTGAAAACAACTTTACATACATTCTCTCTTTTGAACCTCGCAACATCCCTGTGAGGTAGAGGCTATTATCATCCCATTTTATTGCTAAGGAGACTGAGGCTCACAGAGGTTAAATCACATAACTTATCATAGGAACATAAAATTAGAACTGGATGAGCTCTTCGAGGTCAGTGAATTTGACCTAATCTGTTTTCAATGTTTGATTTCCTTGGCTCTGCCCTGAAGTGAATCAGGTGTCTTTCAGTGGCTAATACTGAACTTTTGCCCACTCTAGAGCCACGCTACCAGACAATCTAGGGAGATGAGGTAGCTGGTTCTGGTGGAGTGATGCCGGTTCTCATTTCTTCTTCCCCAATTTTCCAGGGACAGAGCTAATCTTCAGCTGACCAATCGAAGACTGGAAAGGAAAGTGAAGGAGTTGGTGATGCAGGTAGATGATGAGCATCTCTCCTTAACTGACCAAAAGGACCAGGTAAGAAGAAGCTCATGCCTCTGGGATCTGATACTTCACTGTGACTGTGACTTTCAGGCTGGGAGGTATGAGGTACAGAAAACCAGGATCCTTAGAGTCCATTCTCCAGTCACATTTTATGGGAAAATCCAGAAAAGAGAAAACCTTTTCCTTTTCACCTTTTATCTAAGCAGTGATATGTAAACTTCCCTAATGGTCTCTTGGAGTCTCTAATAAAGGATACAGGATATATTTGAAACAATAGGGAGAGAAGCAGGGACTGACCATGGGTTGGTTCCCCTTAGTAAATCGTCTTTATTGATCTAAAAAAGGGACCTCACATGCCATCCAGTCCAGCCTTTTCATTTTACAGCTGAGGAAACTGAGGCTTAGGAAAATTAACTGACATACAGGTAATAATCAGAGGCAGGATTTGAACACTGGTCCTCTGATTCCAGTCAGAGTATTTTCTACTGTACCAAACTTAAGAGGGAGAGGAACCTGGCCCATCCTGGAAATAGTTCTAAAGTTCTGAGAGGAGGGGAAGGGAGGGGAGAGAAAGTGAAAAGGTGACATGGTACATTGTTTGTGGAGACACTGTATCTCCTGGGAATCAGCGCCATAACTACAGCCACCATCCCAGAGTTGCTGACTATGCAGTTTGCTTCCTTAAGTGACAGCAAGAATGATGGCGCTCACTTAGCATGAGTATACTGTCTTCCCCCTTGGGGTTAATGAGGTGGAGGGAAGGGAGCAGGCCTGATCTGGCTGAGACCAAAGCTCTCCATTTTATAGCAGGGTATATAATAACTACCTAAACCTGGCTGCAGCTGACAGGGGGTGAGTTGTGGGGGAATAGCAACTCCAACCAAAACACATCAGTGAGTATGGGACCTTTCAGTGTATCTGTAGTAAAGATTTCAGCAGTACAGTGGTGAAAATCTAAGACTTCATTTTTAAAAGGCCACCCTACTGCCATGTACCCCAAAGAACTCAAAGAGGGAAAGGATCTATATGTACAAAAATATTTATAGCAGCTCTCTTTGTAGAAAGAGAACTGGAAACTGAAGGGGTGCTCATCATTTGGGCAGTGGCTGACCAAATTGTGGTTTATGAATGTAATGAAATACTATTGTACTGTAAATAATGACAAAAGGAATAGTTTCACAGAAAACTTGGAAGATTTGTATGAACTGATACAGAGTGAAGTAAACAGAACCAGGAGAACAATTTAGAGTATAATAAGAACATTGTAAAGATAAATAACTTTGAAGGTCTCAAGAACTCTATTGAATGCAAAAGCTATCTATGATCACAGAGGACCCATGATAAAATATAATAGAAAGACAATGATGCAGATTGAAGCATTTTTTTGGATATGGCCAATATGGGAACTTGTTTGCTTACTATGTTGCAAGGGTTTTGTTTTTGTTTCTTTTTTTGTGTTTGTTTGTTTGTTTGTTTTCCCCCATGGGAAGAAGGTAGGAGGGAGAGAAAATAAATTTTTGTTAATTGAAAAAAAAATTAAAGTTTTAAAAAGGCAAACCTGACTGTCCTGGATCATCACCAGCCTTGAGAGTTTTATCTCTCCTCCTTTTTTCTGAGAATGGATAGAACCTTTTCAGGTATTTCTGTATAACTGGGTATCTAAGTATTTTAAGTATTACTGAGTGTTTGCTATTGTAAGAGGGCTGGAGGAGTGGGGCTGAAGTCAGAGGTTTCTATCAAACCCCTACCCCCTCTTCCCAGCTCGGGTGCCACTAGCATTCATTCTCATTCTCTTTCTCTCTCTCTCTCTCCCCCTCTCTCCTCACCCACCTCCCTCTCCTCTCTATCCCTTTCCTTCTCTCCCTCTCCAGCTGAGCTTACGTTTAAAGGCAATGAAGCGCCAGGTTGAGGAAGCAGAAGAAGAGATTGACAGGCTGGAAAGTTCAAAAAAGAAGCTTCAGAGAGAGCTGGAAGAGCAGATGGATGTGAATGAGCAGCTACAGGGACAGCTCAGCAACATGAAAAAGGACTTAAGGTGGGGGCATTCATCATCCATCATCGCAAGCCCTCACATTGGTCTTCACAGCCCTTTCATATATTGTCTCCTTTGATCCTCACAAATGCCCTCTGAGGGGAACAGAGTATATATTACACTTGCTTTATGGGAGGAGGACACTGTACCCCAGAGTTAGCTCAGTGACTTGCCCAAAGTCACTCAGCTAGGTAGTGGAAGAGCCAGAACTCCATCTCTTGAGCTCTCATCCAGTATCCCATCATGCTCTGCTGCTTCCATATTATAAGGAGAACTATTATTTATATAGCACTTTAAGGTTGCAAAATGTTACCTCATTTGATCCTCACAAAGACACAGTGAGGTAGGTCTATAAAACCCAGTTTACAGAACAGAAACTGAGGTTGAGAGAATTGAAGTGACTTGCCCAAGGCCACACAGCTTCTACGTGTCAGATGCAGGATTTGAATCTTATTCCAAGTCTACCACTCTTTCCATTATGTCATCTAGCCTCTGTGAGAATATGATGACATTTCATCTCTAGGTCATGACTTAATTATAGGATCTAGAGCTCAATAATTCTTGCAACCCAAGGCCAGCAGTGGGAAGGAGCCTTCCCTTTAATGATAATAAATAACTCACATCTGTATACTACTTATAAGGTAGGTAGTGCCTCATCAGGTGAGGAAACTGAGGCTCTGATAGGTAGTGATTTGTCTTGTCTTAAGTGGGATCCAGAACTGGATTTCGTACTTCAAGTCCAGTATTCTTTTCTTTATGCTACGTTGTCTCTACCTCAGAATCCAAAATTAGGGGGGAAATACGGTCATGGGAATTGCTTTCTAAGGCCCAGACTTGTTGACTGCCTCGTGACTGAGGGAATCAAGAAAGCCAATAAACCAGTGCTCTCTGAATAGTGAATAGGGACCTGGATTTCTGTCTGTAATCTTTTCTTAGCTCAGTTTCAGTCGTATAACTGGTGTTGAGGTGTTGTGCTCAGAAGCTTATGATGGCATTTATGCCCTTAGGGGAGTTTTTACAAGCAGCAGTCTTCTTGGCATAGTGACCCATCAGGTAGACCCATCATTGAGAGGTACGTACACCAGGTTTTTAAAGGCTCTAATCACTCTTTTGAGGGAGGTAGGCTCCTCACAGAGGAGTGAGAATCACAGAAGGATTCAACAGAGATAGTACAAATCTCATAGGGCTGTGCCGGTGATGAGACTAGAATCTAGGTCTCCTGATCCAACATGGGGCCCTATTTAATCAACCAGACATCTCTTCTCAGCACGTTATGATAGAATCCTAGATATAGAAACTGTGAACTGAATATTTACAAAGTCATAGAGCTAGAACAGAAGCCATCTAATCCAAAACATTTACTTTATAGTTGAGGAAATTTTGGTCAGGGGGCTTAATTTTCCCCAGGGCATATAAATAATAAGCATCAGAGGCAGGATTGGAATCTAGGACTCAAGACATGAGAGAATTCTACTGTACCATTCTATGCAGACTATGGATTGCTAGGAAGTTGTACAGTGGATAGAGAGCTGGACTTGGAGTCAGGAAGACTCTAGTTCAAATTCTACCACAGACACTTACTAGCTGTATAACCCTGGGCAAGTCATTTAACCTCTCTCTGCCTTAGTTTCCTCAACTGTAAAATGGAAATCATAACAACACCTACCTCCCAGGGTGGTTATGAGGATCAAATGAGATGTAATACATGTAAAATGCTTTGCAAACTTTAAAGTGCTATAGAAATGTTAGCTGTTATTATTGTAATGATTATTGATGCCTTGCCGGCTGTGGTACTAGCAACCATGTTGTTTTTGTCCTCACAGACACAAGAAGATACCGAGTAAAGTGCTGGATGATCTCGATGATGATGATGATGACGACTTCAGTACTGATGGGGGTAGTCTGTATGAAGCACCCATGGGATATCCATTCTCAAAGGAAAATGACCCCACTAAATCTACTTCTGCTTCCCTTAGTGTTTGAGCAGCACATCCATCTAAACAAGCCACCAAAGTGTAGCTGACCAGAGCCAGATGCATAAAAGGGTCCATCTGGAGTGGAGACCTTTTCCCTTTATTCACAATATGTGCCATTTCCTCAAGTATTAGAAGGCTCACTTTGGGTAGCCAGGCTGCAGAGCAGCTCTCACATCCAAGGCAGGTAGTTCCTGTGTTATAAAACATTTAGAAACCTGATAGATAGGGCTTACCACTGGTTATTTACCCTTTGAGCACTAGCTCATATAGTAAAAAATCAAGGTGGTTAAAAAGTCAAAAGCAGGTCAAATGAGGCCAAGATCCATATGAATAATTTTCCCTTAGTCACAACCATTTGATTGTGTTCCCCACCCAACCTGATGATCCCAAATGACAGGATATAGGGCATAGTTTCTAATTAAATAATGATATATCTCCTAGAATCTGATGATCCCAAATGCCAGGGTATAGGTTATATTTAGTAACTCTAAGTTGGGGAAATATGATGTATAGGTTGTAAATATGTTAAACCAGACCTCACTGACTTCTCTAGTTCCATTTTGGAAAGCCCTAGAAGTTTTACAGGTCAGTTTCATATGTAAAGTATACAAATCTATATTGAGTATTATATCTTTTTAAATAAGAAACTACTAGATTTTAAGTATTAAGATTGATTAAGGACCATTTTGAAAATCAATATAAAAAGGAGATGGCTAGGTCTTGAAGGAATTTAAGTAATAATAGCCATGTTCTTTGGAAAAGCCATTTTTTAATAAAGGGGAGGTAGTCAGAGAGTCAGTTTTTATTCCCCCTCTACCTGCAGATCAAACTGTTTCATCCTTTATCTCTGGATTGATTTTAATTCCTTCATGTAAAATATATGTTTTACATTTAGTTACAAGCTGAGATATGTCACCACCACTTTCAAGCTTTCTGGGGCGGGAGGGTTTGGGGGAGGATTTTTCTTCCAACTTTAGCTTTCTGACAGTCAGCAGGAGGTGACAGCTGCTGCATACAGTACAAACAAGGCTGGGCAACCTTGCCACTGATGAAAGCCTCCTCTACCCCAGCCTTCATTGCTTGTTTTCTCAGGCTCCTAAATGGGATGATGCCAAGAGATGGTGAAATGGTGAGAGGTCATAATTGAAACAAGAATTCAGGGTGTTGAAGACAATAGGAGAGAGCTAAGAAGATCATGGGAGTAAGGAGAGGTGAGAGATGATGAGCAGGTGTACATGGGTATAGGATGAGAGGAGTAGGGGGGAAAGGAACCAGGGAGGAATAAGAAAGTAAAAGAGTCCTGATGTTAGAGAGGATGAGTACGTAAAACATGGACTGAGGAGGATCTAAGGTCTCAGTACATTTAAGTACTGGAGGAGGTTGGTAGGTAGAAATAGTGCCATGAAAAAAGCAGGAGCTACTGAAGTAGTCATTTAATTTCTGAGAACTGTGCCTTTGGGTGGCATAGGGATAAGAGGGAGATCAGTCCTTCTTCTCTCTTGACACCACTAAAGCCCTGAAGGTGGTGATTAGAAAAGAGCATGTGAGAAATAGTTAGGTAGCTTGCTAGGAATCCAGGAGCTGGGCCCGTGGGCTGTGGTAGGCTGGAGATAAAAGGCATGGCTGGCCGTTGCCATTCCCTTTCTTGAAAGTTGTCACAGGTTATATAGCATACTTAGTGTTTCCTATTAATCACTTCCCTTAAGTTCAGGGTGGGTCTTTGACGTGTAATGTGTTGGTCATGGTTGGTACATGGCATATATCCTGTGGCCTGATATGACACCAGAGCCATCAGGGAACCCCAAGGTGGACAAAGTAACCCTCAGCCCAGGAAAAAAACATTAAGAGCCATGGATGTAGTGGAAGAGTGAAAGCTGATGGGACTTGGTCACTGCAATTGTTTTCCCAGGTTACCATGTGCCATATTGGATGGTAGGAGTAGGACTTAGGTAATAGACAAGAGAGTCCATATCCCTAAGGGGAACAGGAAATCCCAGTGGAGCCTTCCTTCTCTCTCCTTCTAATCCCCTGTCTGAGAGACATGCCAGTTCCTGCAAGTCTGTAGGACGTATGAGTGACTTGGATCAATACCCTCTCCCTATTCTCTCCCATCTGTCTTAAGAATCTGATGGTCAGGGAATGACAGCCAGGGTCCGCAATCACACCCTGGTCACAGTTTTGGAGGCTTATTCTGACTTCTTTCCCCTTGTGTTATGTAAAGGTAGGACTGGAATTTTTCCTTCTCAGGGGATTTGGGATCTCGGGAGCCCCACCTTAAACCTCTTCAGCCTCTCTGGGGCCCCTTACAATCATATGACGACTTGGGGACACAAGTGCTGTGACCATATTGTGTGCACCAGCTGACTAGATTTAGTGTTCACTTTTTCCAGTAGGAGTTTGCAGTAAGTGCTCCTCAGCCTGACCTTCACCATCCTGCTGTTTTCATCAGTAGCATGGTTACCATCCTGCCTGGCTGGAACCGTCTTATCCCACTGATAGCTAAGTGACTGGTGAGTTAGGTCTATTAACTCAGCAACTTTTTTATGGAAGAGGAATGTCTTGAATCCAGCCAAGCAGGACTATTAAGAAAAGGGGGCGAGAGAGACAGCCCTCTGTAGAAAACAAATGCAGTGACCAACCCGGGTTATAAGATAGGAAGCTTTGAAAGTATTTCATGATAATATCTTAAAAATTCCTATTTTGTTTATAAATTTAATTTCCATACTACCTGGATTTGAATATAGTTGGTGATTAACTTGCATACGTGCACCAGATAGATTTTTGGGCCCGATTCTGCCACTGGTTAGTGGCTATGTGACATCGGACAAGTCACTTATTCACCTTGAGGAAAGTGAATTAGATGACCTATAAGGTCGTTTCCAACTCTAGAATTCCATGATTCTTTCATTCTCTTATATATACACATATATACATATATATATGAATACTTTCCCCACTTATCTCTTTAATAACTAACCCAAAGAACCTTCTCACTAATGTTTTCTATAGCTCTCTGAAAAACGTGTTTTTAATTTTTTAAAAGAAGACAGTTGGACCAAATGCGCAATGCTGTGATGACAATCATCAGAAAATTGTATTTTTTTGTGATTTTTGATTATTTTGCATTTATGAACACCTTTTTACAAATGCCAGTAGATATATGTTCAGCTCAGTTTTCTACTCGGCCCTAGTTTAGTCGCTGCTATTTATCACTGGGAAGATAGATTTTCGTTGCAGCTACCTCTGTGTACATGAAACTGTAAACACCAAGGTCACTTTTCAATAAACAGTGTCCATCCACCTCAATTCTTGCATTATTTCTGTTTCCATTATCGCCCCACAGCTGAGGCCTCTTCTCTATCCCCAAAAGACTATCAGAGTAGGCAGCCAGGTCAAAGGCTGAATATGAAGTGACTTTAGCAGACAGGACTTAAGAGAGTAGGAGAAACTAGTCCAGGTGAGTGCCCTGAGGGGCTAGTAAGCTAGGGCAGAGAGGGTGTGTTGAAAAGCTTCCTGAAGATGGGGCAGCTTGACAGCTCAGTGGATAGAGCACTGGCCCTGGAGTCAGGAGGACCTGAGTTCAAATCTGACCTCAGACCAAACACTTGACACTTACCAGCTGTGTGACCCTGGGCAAGTCACTTAAACCCTATTGCCAAAAAAAAAAAATCTTCCTGAAGAGAACAAATGATAATTTATTTAGCTTAATTTTATAGTTGACTTACACAGCACTTTCCTCACAACAAACTTATCTATTCCCATTTTATAGACAAGAAACAGACCCTGAAAGCCTTTGACCTGCTAAGAGGCACATATCAAATTCCAGAGCTGTGACTTGGACCCAGGTCTTTTAAGTTTGATACCTGGGCTTTTTCTGCCACATCACACTGCCTCAATAATCTAGCCTTAGAGAATTATGACTTAATGAGTTATTGGACTCTGTTAGACTTGGAGTCAGGCAAGTTGTTGTTTAGTCAGTTAGTCATGTCTGACTCTTCATGAACCTATTTGGGGTTTTCTTGGCAAAGACACTGGAGTGGTTTGCCATTTCCTTGTCCAGCTTATTTTACAGATGAGGAAACTGAGGCAAACAGGGTTGAAATGCTTGTCCAGGTCACACAGCTAGTAAATGTCTGAGGCCGGATTTGAACTCAGGTTCTCCTGATTCCAGGCCCAACCCTCCATCCACTGTACCTTGCAAGACCAGGGTTCAAATCCCACCTCTGACATTTATAAGCTAAATGACATTTGGGCAAATCAATGTCTTTGAAATTCAGTTTCTTCATCTCTAAAAGGGGGATAAATAGTAATATCTGCCTCATGGGATTGTTGTGAGGGTCAAATAAAATGATGAAATAATATACATCATAATGTGTTAGCATGTTACAGTAGAAAGAGTATTGGCTCTGGAGTCAAAGAACCCGAGTTCAAATCCTGCCTTGGATACTGCCGGTATGACCTTCAGTAAATTGTTTGAGCTCTTTGATCCTCAGTTTCCCCATCTATGAAGTAAGGGAGTTGTCCTAAACACCATCTGAGGTCCCTTCTAGCTTTGGACTATGTAAGGGATAGTGACAATGACAACAAGGACAGTGCTGCTGCTGCTTTTCCAAGAAATCCAACCCATCCACCTAGAGACAAAAAGGAAAAAATGTCAAAATTAGGCAAAATCTCAATATTGATTTATTTTTTCAATTAGGTAAACAAAGAATCCATAACCCTATGCATGTCTGTGCTACAAAACAGCAGATGATTTCTGTTTCTACACTAGTCAGGATGTGCTTACTGAAATCCTTAGAAAGATCTTCTGAGTTTCTGTCTCCTCATTCTTGGTTTTTTGAAACTTATCTGATGTGGCCTTGCTAGGGCTGCCTCAGTCACCCCTCCCCGCCCTCCTCCCAATCCCCTGGGCATAAGCATGTAATCCTACAGACTCATTTTATTTTTATTTTTATTTTTTAATTTTTAGGCAATCAGGGTTAAGTGACTTGCCCAGTGTCACACAGCTAGTAAGTGTCAAGTGTTTGGCCTGAGGCCAGATTTGAACTCAGGTCCTTCTGACTTCAGGGCTGGTGGTGCTCTATCCACTGTGCTACTTAGCCACCCCAACAGACTCATTTATTAAGGGTCATTCCAGCACAGAAGATTAGGAAGCTCAGCAGCTAGATACGTTCGGAGATGCTGTCTTAAAAAGTCTTCAGCAACCAGGATTGTTCTGCACAAGGTTTTTCAAGTAAAAGAGGAAAAACTCATATCAAAAAATGAAAAATTCTAGTTCCTGATGTTGGATTAGTTAGAGTATAAACAGCCAGTCCTATGCTAAATCTTCTAGACTGGTCAAACTTTAATGAACATTCAGAATGATGGCCCAGAAATCTCTGCCAGGGGCCTGTGGCAAAGAAATGCTCCATTTTGTTCACTCTACTATGTTAACTAAGGCAGATAATTGTATCAACATATTTTGAAAAGGTGTAATTCTTACCTTGAAAATTCAATTATTAACCAGAATTCAGTTCAGTTCAATTCAACAGAAACATATGTCATACACTTTGAATTACTATACAAATATGGGCTAGTATAAAGTATTAGTTGAGCAACTATGATATCTATGTGATCACCCTGCTTTATGTTGTAGCTTTGGCTAATTGAAGTTCTTGCTATGGCCAGATCATGTGGTGGGCCAACTCTTCAGTCTAGCCCATTCTTTCCCAGCCTAAGAAGGTTGGTATGTTAACATACAGAGTAGAGGGCTTCTAGAGCTTGCACTTTAGTGGTATATCATTTAATGAG